TTGGTATTGTTTGAAATTCCTCGCTTTAATGTCTTTTAATCATTAAGTTATGGATTATTTTAATTATAGGGATCACTATATGTATGTTTTGATAATTAATCTTAGGGTTTTATCATATGAGACCCTAAAATCATTCTTTACTGTATATTAGGCATCCGAAACTTCATATTTTTATTTTACACCCCCAAACTTTTAAGTTGTTTTTGATAACACCCTTATGGAATACAACTTTGTCATATTAGACCCTAAGTTTTTTCTTTTATTGTTATATTAGGCCGCCAAATCTATTAATTACGGGACTATAGTAGCAATTATAGTAGCAATTATGAACAGAATCCAATCAGGTGTTATTTATAACAACATAATAGATTTAAAGGTGTCAATTGGAAATATGAAGATTTGGGGGTTTAATATACAATTAAGAAAGAATTTAGGGTCTAATATGACAAAGGTCTTAAATCTTACTGTAAGGACTTGGATAGCATTTATTTTCCTCCAGCTATATGTTACTTGACAAAGTTGTCTTTGCTGCTGATTATTGATTTTGAAAGACAGATGTCAATTATGCGGGCTATAAATTTGATTAATAATGCAAACACATGTATGATAAGGTATGCACTGGAAGAGTAGTTAAAGACATCGAGTTCTTTTTAGGTTTATTTGTTTTTTTTCATTTTTTCAGTGATATTTGAGCTTGGAATACTGTTTGCTAATATATTATTCAGTCTTTTTTAATCTATAGTTGGACATCTGTATTAGACGCATTGGTGTTGATAAGATAACATATGGGAACATCTTAGTATCGTATGAATCCCGTAATCTTACTTTTGTAAGAAACGATGTATTTGTTAGATAACAAGAAACATGTCTTTGACTATTTGTTGCTTCACCATCCAAACTCCTTAACCACTCAACATTACCACTGTCAGTTGTGTTGCTCAGACACCAATTGAAATGTAATTCCTAACTTCTATACAAAGTTTTGTTTTTGAAAGGAGCCTCAAGTGTTTTAAAAGTTACCATACGTGATATTCCTAGGTATTCTCAGTCCATATTCATAACATGAGTTTCCATATCTTGATTTGATCCCAGCATCATTCAGATTGATTATTGAAGATATTCTGTTCATGGTTTTTGGTATTGTTTATGTTGATTTTGTTATACCTCATAATTATCTCCTACAGTGAATCAAGTTTTCTGTTTCTTATGCCAGCCTTCTTAGTGCTTTGGGAACATCAGTTCATTCTCATTTTTCTTCTGTATTTTAAAACTTGAGTTGAGTTGTCTCCAACCAAGAGAAATTTAGTGAGAATGCCTTCTTTAGTGCAATATACAGATGGAAGAGTTGGAGATAAATCAAACCAATCCAAGGCTTATCTACTCATTGAGAAAACACTCTTCTTGCTAGGAAGAAGAAATCTTAGTCTCGTCAGGTTTGGGAGAATCATAGTTTAATTAGGATTACACTTTTTTATTTGGAGACTTTTAGTTTGCTTTCGATCTTAGTTGAGTTAGGTAATTATTTCAGTTTGAGCATTTAAAATCTACATCATTAGTTGACTTTTTGTTTGTTGATTAATTAGATTTGAAAACTTTAAAAAGATGGCATTGTGTGTAAATTCCTTCCTTGGTCTAGAACCAACCCACAACCTTGGGATGAACTTGCCTTCTGTCAAAATCTGAAATCAAACTCCAGAGATAGCCATATTAACCTGAAAAATCTGTTGTCCATTTATTAGTGTTAATGTGATTTCCTGCTTGCAGTTAGCAACATAACTTTTAGTTGCTCTAGGGTAAACTTCATTTGTTTCTTATCTAAAATTAAGCAACGAGGTTGTTGTCTAATTAACTATTTAGTTTAAAAGAACTATTTAGTATAAAAGAAAGCGAACACCTTTGTCTACAGCCATCGAAGAGCTTGCCTAACGTCTGAAGTGACTTTTTCAGATGCTTTATACCTTGTCAACCATTTCTGTACCACACTTGCTGAAATGGTCTAGTGTTGTGCATGAGTTAATTTGTGGCTCTTGAACTCTTCTAGGATAAAAAGAAGGCTTCATCTACAGCCATGGAAAGCTTGCTTAACTTCTGATGCGACTCTTTAGGGTGCCTTATACCTTCTCAATCATTTTTATGCTACACTTGCCAAAATGGTAATGTTGTGTATGAGTTAACTTACAGCTCTTGTACTATTCTAGGATAAAGATGTATTCATGTTGTTCTCGAACCCAATGTTACATAAGGCACTAGGCGGACTAAGCGTTCGAGCCGGCGCATAGGCGTTTGCCTATTTTTTTAATTTATTTAATTATAATAATTCACAAAAGTATGTATTAAGTTCATATAAAATTACAAAAAACATAAATAAAAAGATTAAATCCATAATCAACCATGCATAAATACTAAAATTGAATTAAGATTAACTAAAATTGAACAAGATTAAACTAAAGTTAGCTAAAATTAACTAAAATTGGACAAAATTAAACTAAAATGAACTAAACTTAACTAAAATTGAACAAGATTAAACTACAATTAACTTAATTAAACTAAATTGAACAAGACTAACTATTCAAATTTAAAAAAACAGTTTATAAGTGAAATTGTTACCTAAAACAGTAACTAAGTTAAAAAACAATTTATAAATTTAAAAAAATTGAAAATTTTACCTGAACGCCGAGAGAAGATTGGCGGGAGAAGGTGGTTGCCGGAGAGGACCGGCAAGAGAACGGGGACCGCGGGAGAGGAGGACGTGGTTGCGGGAGTAGCAACGGCGGGAGAGGGAGAGAAAGTCGCAATGGAGATAGGGAGAGGTGGCTGTGGGAGAGTGAGTTAGAGAGAGAGAGAGAGGGAGATAAGCAGACGCGACGGGAGAGAGTTAGAGAGAGAGATAGGGAGAGGGACTGAAGGAGATGGGGAGAGAGTGAGTCAAGTGAGAGAAATAGGCAGACGTGACTGTGGGTGCGGGACAATTAGAGAGAGGGAGATAGGGTTAGCTATTAATATTAGGTTATAAGAGGGAGATAGGGTTAGCTATTAATATTAGGTTATAGGTTCGGGTAACGGGTACAGGATTGAGCTTGAGTTCTTTTTTCAGTTTTTTTTTCAAAAAGCTAGGTGCTACCTCTGCTCCGCCTACGCCTAGGCGGACGCCTAGGCGTCCGCCTAGGCCGCTTTTTATAACACCAAGTGTCATTTTGGTGTCTTGTGAGTAAGCAAATTGTAATATTTTCCTAATATAATAATGTCATAATAAGATGGAGAATTAGACGTTTACGAGTCACGACTCCAAAGTAAGAGACACCTCTCATTCATAAGAACAAGGAACGAGTATGGAGATAGTTGACGAGGATCTTTATTGGTATATCAAGTTGTTTGAATCTTGGTATATAGGTTGTTTTAATTCCTCTTTGAAGGGATGCATATGTAGTTTTCTTAATTTTGTGTACACATGAAATTATTGCAAGGATTGGTGGATAGTAGGTTAATCAAGATGTTGCATTCTTTAACGAAGTTGCTATAATGTCATTTTCAACACATTCATATAATTCCAATTTCTATCTCTTAGGCTCCAGAAAAAGGATGAAGTTGCTTATGCATTGAATGATTGAAATTTTACGCACCCTATAAGTTCATAACCACAACTATTTAGTCTTATCTTGTAGTTGATATGTTCCTATTTGGATCCTTTAAGGCAATTGTTATAATTCCTACCTTCTCAGATTCAGACACATGATGAAGGTGCTTATGAGTGTAAATTTTAGAGATCATCTAAGTTCACAAACACCATTATTTAATGTTACCTTGCAGCTGATATGTTCCTGTATTTCATCCATCTCAGGAAGCATGGCAAGATGTGGATCCAGATGAGCTTTCGTATGAGGTAAACAAGTTTTTTTTTGTGTGTGTTCCCTTCCTTTTAAGTTTACTAGTTTTTATGCACATGCAATGCACGTGGTTAAATATCAAATTTTTTGTCTTTTATTAAATTACTAATTCATTTTGAGTTAAATATCAATGCATATTTTTTGTCTTTTGATCTAGATCAAATGATAGCTTAATAACTAAAAGTTAAGAAAACTGAGGAAAATATTAAAATCAATAGGTAAGAGCAAGTTGTTATGAAACCTGTTCTATATCCTGTTAAATAGAGAAAGCGATAGACTATCGAGGATAAACCTCTTTATTTTATAATTATCTTAAAAATGCTATATTTAAAAGGAAAAAAAAACTTTAATTCATTCACCAGAGCGTAAGCTTAGTAGATTAGAGAGAGATAGAGAAACTTGGGTTAAAAATTACTAAGTTGCCATTGATAAAAAGATTGATAGATCAGAATTAAATTAGAATTTATCTTATAAAAAGGAAATCTAAAAAAATAACTAAACTTTTTAACTAATAGGGATTCAAAAAAGCTTGTAATACTATTACATGTGCATCCCTCTTTTGCAGCATTTTAATAGGAATAGCATTCAGTTTCAAATGACTCAATATAAATCTCAATTATCTTAAAAATGTGATATTTAAAATTATCTTAAGAATATATACTCTATATATCTTTACCAAAAAAGAAGAAAAAGAAAAGAAGAGATCCATCTATGATTACTATAATGTAAAACATGTAAGGCATATTCAAATCAAATCTAAGCAAGATCATGTTTAGATGTATTACATCTTAGAATCATAAAGAGGTTGAAGAAAATTATAACCATGTTTGGTCATAAAACTTATTACTATCAACATTTAAACAATCTAAAAAAAAGATGAAACGCACAACATAATTCACTGCTTTTAAACAATCTAATCTAATAATCTAATCTAATAAGAAGAAAATAAGAAAGGCACATACCTGTTGGAATAGATAAAGGTGTTATGAAAATTATTGCAATTTCTTGATCTAAAAAAAGATCCACAATATAATTCACTACTTTAAACAATCTAATCTAATCTAATGATTTAATCTAATAATAAGAAAATTTCAAAGGCATATACCTGTTGAAGGAGACGAAAGTGCGATGAAAATTGTTGCAAAGCTTACATATATAGGCACGTGATGTTGAATGTGAGAGGATAACTATTGTAAATAGAGATCTATTTAAATAATAATTATAATGTAATTTCTTAAACTTTAAAATTATTAGTACATAAAATTAGGATAGGATTAGGATTGAAGTTAATAATTAATATAGGATTATAGTGCGGTTAAATTAAAAGTTATTATTCCATCACACGAACTTAAAGAGTCATAACTTTATAAACTTTCTATCAAGTTTCTCATGGGCCATTAAAGCCCAAGAGGACAAATACGTAGTGATGATAGGATAATTAGGATTATTTAAATTGTTGATGTCAGTAAGTATATAATCCAAAAGCTGAAGGATATACACATATATTTGGGATTATGCGCAGGATATGGATAAAATGATACCTTCTTTTTGATAGATTTTATAATGATATTAATTAGGACCATCTACAATTTTCTCATGGGCCATTAAAAAGCCCATGAGGACAAATGCGTAGTGATGATATAATTAGGATTATTTAAATTGTTCATGTAAGTAAGTATAATCCAAAAGGTAAATGATATGCACATATATTTGTGATTATGCCCAGGATATGGATAAACCCCATGCCTTCTTGATATTAATTTGGATATGATAACAATATTTTAGAATGATATTAGGATAGATTATGATTAAAATGTACTATTGAAAATAGTGAAGGGTAATATTGTCCATGAAAAGATTTTCTCGAACTTGTACTTTTAAAGGGAGTATGATTTGTCTATTGATGGGTGCTCTGCTTTTTTGTAGGAGCTGATTGCCTTGGGTGAGGTAGTTGGAACAGAGAGGAGAGGTCTTTCTGTAGACACAATTGCCTCCTTACCTTCAGTTACTTACAAAGCACAAAGTTCACAAGATGCCAACACAGACCAGTAAGTTCTTGTCTTTCCTATTTTCTTTCTTTTGAAATTTCTGTTAATAATTATCTGGTTGTTAAATGTTTGCAGATGTGTTATTTGCCGGTTAGATTATGAAGAAGGGGATTCTTTAGTTGAGCTTTCATGCAAACATTTATATCACCCTGAGTGCATAAACCAATGGCTCCAAATAAACAAGGTACTTGCAAAATTATCAAAATATGCTCGCATTGTTTGCATTAGCGTTCTCTGTCTGAAATTTGGAGTTAGATGCATAAATATTACCTGGCGTTTATACCATGAGTTTTAATTTTTCTTGGAAGAGTTTCTTGCATTGCTTGTTTTCTTATTGGACATTAGTGCTATTGGGGTGCGTTTGTTTCTGTTTTGAAAAGTTCCTCACTCACATGGTTAGTGGTTATTTTCTATATCTGGTTTTGTTCTTCTAATCATTTGCGCTTGTCATTTGCTACTTCACCTCCAGTTATTTTGTCGCATACGGGTATGGCTTGGTAGTACTTTTATGTCGCACGCACTTGCAGTGCTTGGATTTTTTTTCCTTTCACTCACGTAGAATGGTGCAGACGTAAGTCCAGCTCTTGGCATCCGGGCTTTCGCTGGCTGGCTCAGTAGTCTAGGATTGCAGTTGGGCTTTAGGCATCCCGTGCAGGGCCTAAACGGCCATCCAATTTATGATGGCTGCAGACTTTTCCACATTTTATCCTATTTTTAAGTTTGTTACCTAATTAGAACCATGTAACTACATAATAATGAAACAATTAGGGTAGTTACTATATTAAGAAAGTTGGAGAATTTGTTTTAGTTCCACATTAAGCTATCTTAATTGTATCCTAGTTCTAAATAAAACTGGACTATTCTTCCCTAGATAGAAGTCTCGTTTCCCTCATAGTACATTATAATGGCCAAAATACAGGCAATCTTGAGAAGCAATCATTTGTTTATGCTGAAAAATAGGAGGGAGGGATTTAAAGGGTCCATTCTGTCATTGGTTAAGTATGTATTTGATTGTGGTTGAGGTTTGGGTTTGTTTGAAAATTCAATTTATACGGCTGATTCTCTCCTCCAATATATGAAGGATTCCATTTTCTCCTGTGTGGAGGCTGATTCTCTCCTCCAATATATGAAGGATTCCATTTTCTCCTGTGTGGAGGCTTTCTTTCTCCTGCAAGTTTCGTTTCTTTTTTTCTCATTTCTTGTGAGGCTTATTTTCTTTCTGTATCAATAAGTAAGTTCAAAAGGAACTAAAAATGAGTATAGATCAAGAATTACCAGGTAATCAGGTATTCTTTCTGTATCAATAAGTAAATATGTCTGCTTATTTACATGCCTTTGGTGTGTTTGGTATTTTTGGGTTATTTGCTTTATCTTATATCTGCTTATTTACATGTCTGTGGTGTGTTTCATGTCAATGCTGAAATAGTAGGTGGCCTCTAGTTTCGAACCACAAGATTTTGAATGTGACCCATTTGCTAGTCAAGGTTTTCTCCAATCCTAGGAAAACTTGAATGAAAATGCTGAATCCAATTTTTAAACGCTAATCTTTGCAAGGTTTTAAATATTTGATATAAAAAAAAATACCGGATGACCAAAATTCATATCGGATTGCGGATATCAGGGAAATATCAGGGATATGTGGTAATATTGAAATGTCATAACAGATGTTTGCATATATAATATAATGCACTAAAATGTAATCTCAACATACTTAATGGAATCTAAGCATACAAAATGTAAATAATATATATTTAGGATCTCTAATCAAACCTTGTAAAACAAATAAAAGTACGGATTTACGTTGCAACATTTCGTCTGATTTTTATAGGCTAAAATACCTTTTGATATAATGGGGAAATTATGAAATCTCGCCAAAAAAATGCCAACCACGATATATTGTTCTGCGACAAGCCATATAAAAGGATATATAGGCCAATATTTCGGCTAGTATATCGGCCATCTCGGGTATATATTGCCCAAAATAGCCAAAAAGCGGTGAAGGATATTTAGAGACTATCAATTATAGTAAGCCCCGTAAAAGGATATATTAGGCGATATATCGGGCCATGTCGGGGATATATAAAACAATGAATCTTTGCTTCTGATGATCCTAGGGCTTTGGATTTTTTTGTTTGGAAGTGTTGGGGATATTTTGCATGCAACATTAATGTTAAAGAGTGCTGTAAAAGAAGTTTATTTAAGTTTCCAGAATGACAAGTTTTGAAGTACTTCTCACATTTTGATCAAAATAATACTTGATCAACATTGGTTGGCCTGTGGCTAATCTATTATCATCAACCCTGTTTGCATTCAGGTATGCCCTATTTGCAGCTGTGAGGTCTCTACTTCTTCGGGACAATAGTCAAGGTTAATGAACCAACCAACCGGCATCTTGAAGCCATTTGTTACCCTTGCGGAATAAGCAGCCAGAGCTTGTAGAAGTCATTCCATGAAATCTGCTGCATTTGTTGACAGTGGAATCTCACGTGAAAAGGATACAAACAAGATGCCTAATCCATACGCAGAAATTTCATGTAGCCATTGTTATACCATTATATTGTTGTGCCTATTGTTCAATACTTGTATATCATTGTTAGAAGCTAAGGTGTTTATGAATCTGCTGAACTCAGTATGGTCTGCTGTGCAATAAGTTTGATAAAATGTTCCACTGGTTAAGACCATCAATTAATATACGAGTGCTGTTGTGTATTTTTCTTCTTAAAAGTTGTGAATTTGGATTTGATATCGCGTATCTGTATTTCGAGATTTGGAATCTCGGTATTTGTTGAGAGCTACGCAGTTGTTTTGATTAATTGTGATTGTCATGACAAGAGCATGTAAGCTACTCTAATGCTTATGCTAAAAGGTTGCATGAATTTTATCTGATCCTGCATCGCTTCTGTAAAGAAAAACATTTGTTCTCTTCCTTTGATCACGTATAGGTTCTTTTGTTACAAGTAGTCTAAGCCCAACCTATCCTGAAATCTTGAACCAAATCCCCACTATTTTATTTTAGGACACTTGCCCAAGTGTCCCCTAAGTCTTTATTAGTCTCCCAAATCTTTGGAATTGGTTATAAGCCCCTCAAATCCAAAAGAGTCTTGTGAAGTGGCGGAACTGTCCCTCAACTTAATGTTTTGGTGAACATAGGGCTGTCCAAACGGAACGGCCCAGCCCGGCCTGGAAATGTGGGTTCGAGCCGGGCAAAAAGGGGGACCCGGGTCGGGTTCGGGGCTGAGCCCAAACGAGCCCCGGCACCGGGCTGGCCTGGTTATTTTTTTTCCTTAAGAAATAGTTTTTTTGTAAAAAAAATAAAATTTCAAGAGTAAATAAAAATAAAATATGCGAAATTTTGATAACAATTCAATCGTATTATTAATCACTTGTGATTATACAATTTATAAATACAAATATTATAGAAATTAAAATGATAAAAATAAATTCTTTATTATTAATAACTAACAATTATAATTTTTTTTGAAATTTATCGCATCGCAATAGATGAATACATCCCAACTAGGTTGACACCTACTCCTTTATATCACTATCATTCGTAACTCTTTCCAAAATAATTTATCATAAATTTACAGCTAAGAAATAAAAATTGCAAACTACTAAGTAATTTCTACTCTCTATCTCTATCTCCTATTGTCAACTCATCAAGTCTTTCTTCAATACCAGCTATCCGATTGATGCCTTGAGTTCTTTTCTTAGACCTCTACCAATTTTGTAGGCACATTGCCGCTTGTACGGTAGACGGGTCTAGCTATGTTATGTGGTCGTCGATCAAACGTCCTGATGTTCTGAAGGTGGATTCCGAAGTTACTATATAAACTTGTACTATTAGTAAGTTACGAGTCATGATGGAAAGTATATGATATGAAATTGTTCCATATACTCTCTACCATTGCAAAAAATCAATATTATTATTTTGAACATTAACTAATGATACATTGGTTGGTGGGAAAATTGAAAGAAGTGGGAAAATTGAAAGAAGAAAATAAAAAATAAATTTGTATTATTCTCTCTAATAGACTTAGGAAAAAAATTAATTACAATCCTCTCAATATAATCCCTCTCTAACAAACTTAGAAAAAGAAATTACAATCTTCTTGTATTGGATTCTCGATTTACAAAAAAGAGAAAGATCGTCGGAGATCATTCCCTTTATTTAAAACTGAGTTCTTCTTGGTGTTGATGGAATGCCTCCCTCGATGTTCATGTCGAGTTTACTTTCCGTTGACGATCCGAACGCTTCACCTCGTGGGACGTTGTCTTCCTCTTGATTGATGTCGAGGAGAACTTGCGTGACGAGTTTGAAACTTGCGTGATGAGTTTGACGATCCGAACGCTTCACCTCGTGGAACGTTGTCTTCCTCTTGATTGATGTCTAGGAGAACTTGCGTGACGAGTTTGAAAGGAACTCTTAACAAGTTTTAGAACTCAGAGCTAGTTTAAACTCTGTAAAAGAGCTGATTTGAACCGAAAATCGGTTTAAAGCCAAGCACCAAAGCTCCTTGTTGCTGAAGAATGCTCTCGGTGGATGAATGCAGAACTTCTTCTCCAAAATTCCTATTCGAAAAAGCCCTAAACTCCATTGAGTTTGCTGGCATTTATAAGGAGGATTAAGGGCTGTAACCGGTCCCTTAATCTGATTCTAAGTGGGGTGGCAATCCCTCAAATCGTGGGGAGAAAACGGTTTTTGGAATCGTTCAGATATGTTTGAACGAGTCAAACGTCAAAACTGGCGTTCTGGGCATGAGCTCTACGTCCAATGGATGGGACGTAGAGTTAAGATCTGCGTCGGGGCAGAAAACACAGCTGTTGCATTACGTTTTTGAATAGGAACACAAGGCTGAATCTTGCGTTTTGTTCTTAGAACGTAGAGGAGAGTTCTACGTCTTGGATTAAAGAGATTGTTGACTTGTAATCTCTTTTGTAGAGCGTTGCAAAAATCATCATTTTATAATCTTCGCTTTAGCCCTTTAAAATGTGGGAATCATCAGACTATAACTCCCGCAGTTGTTTGTGAAGCCTGTTGAATCCGAGCTTTTATCGGTTGTCGTGAAGGTCGTCGAATTGTAACCTTCCTCAATCTACGTGAAAATCTTCCAACTATAGCCTTCATTTGCTAATGTGAAAGTCATTTGATTATAAATTTCTCAGTTGAATTGTCAATATGAAAGTCGTCAGATTGTAACTTTCATTGTCTGTGTTTGATGGGGATAAGCTATCTGCACTAATTTTTAGACAGCCTACAGAACGCCCTCAAAGTTTTTAAAAGTTTGCGGTTGACTAGAACGAATTTTTGGAATACTTTGGATCCCAAATTGGTTTGAGATTGGTTGAATGATGGTTCACTATATCTGTTTTGAAGGTATCATAAACTTGATTGTAGAAATTTGTTGCACAGGACCTGTATGCTGGTGACCTGCAATGTAAAAGGATTTTTGGCAAATCCTCAGCCATCAACGGATTTGATGTGCCTTTACCCATTACCGTTGGACATTGGGTTAGCATATGGATTGTTTAAGTCTGTTCCACATGTAATGTTGTGCTAAAAGAATAAACTCTTTTAGGCTTGATACTATGATATTGAATACATAGACTTTGTCGAATCTGTGAGACGCAGCTTAGATCTGACCAAAGTGATCATTGTAGGTATTGATGAACACCCAAGACGTAGCCCAAATTTGGCTAAAATGATCCTTACAGGTATTGATGAACACCCAAGGCGCAGCCCAAATGATGATTTCAACAATATCATTGTCAATCTTAGTGGGAATGTTAAGCCATTGAAAAGAAGAGTTGCGTGAGCGATCAAATTCAGTGTTATCAGCGACAACAATTAGAATCAGTCTGTACTCATCCAAGAAGCTGCATAGCTTCTTATCATAGGCCAGTTTCTTCTTAGCTTTCGTCACCTTGATGGCCATTGCTAGCTTACAAGCAGAATTAGTCCGGCAGAAGGTTCAATTTGCTCAAGATGAAGCTATCACGACCATACTCAGCCTCCAGGCTACATAAACTCTTGTGAATTATCATAAAGAAGTCCATGCTCTTGAAGAGGCTAAGAAAGAAGCTGCTGCTGCGGTGCCCAAGGAAGATGAGCTGAAGAGACCGTGCGAGTTGCCCACGAGGAGAAGCTCTCCGATATCAAGTCCCAACTCGCATCTATTCACTTGCTGGAACCTTGAACTTTAATAATTTTTTTGTATCGTTCTTTTGACAAGAACAATATTATCTTGTATCACTTTTCTTTTGATTTTGAATAAAAAGTGATACTATTTTAGTTTTTCATTGTTTCTTTTGTGTGTCATATTCTGATTTGAAACAATGAAAAATATAATTAAAAATGCCAGATGTGTGATTTTAACTTAGCATAATTTCCTACATAAAGCGAGATTTAACACTTTTCTTTATTATCATTTAAGATAATTCCAAAAAATTTCAATCTGCTGGAGATATTTATTGGCTCCCGGAGTTGATATTCTATTTAAGAATCATCAAATCCTTGGAGTTGTACTAAACGATTGTTATTCTCATGAAAATAATTAACAAGTTCGTTTCTTCCTGTGTTGCATGTTCACTTGAAACACTGAAAGAAACTTATAAGCGCCAGAGGTGTAATATTAATGTGTCATGAATTTTTACTTAGAGTGAAATTTAAAAAAAATTCTTTTCTTTATTACCACTCGGGGTAATTCTAGAAAAGTTTAATCCTTTGGGGATTTTATGAATACTTATTACTCTTATGTAAAAGAATAACCAGTTGTTTAACTGTTAGAGGTATAGTGTTAACGTAACAACGATTTGTAGACTTATCATCCTATTAAAGATGATTAATAAGTGATTGTCAGAGGTATAATGTTAACATGACAGGAACTGGTTGCGATCAGAGTAACTTTGAGGACCTATCGCTCTATTGAAGAGAGTCGATAAGTTGATTGTCTGAGGTGTGATATTAACATGACAATAGTGATTGTCAGAGGTGTGATATTAACGTGACATGAACTTGTTGCGATCGGGGTAACTTTATGGACTTATAATCCTATTGAAGATGATTGATAAGTTGATTGTCAGAGGTATAATGTTAACATGACAGGAACTGGTTAGATCGAAGTAACTTTGATGACCTATCGCTCTATTGGAGAGAGTCAATAAGTTGATTGTCAGAGGTGTGATATTAACGTGACATAATTTGTACTTGTGATTTGAACAAGATTTTAAAGACTTAGCGTCTTGTTGGGGAGAATTACTAAATGAGTTTATCATCAGAGGCGATGAATTTTGATACTTGTGATTCTAACAAGATTTGAAAAACTTATCACTCTGTTAAAGGGAGTTGATAAATTGGTTATTTACTACTCTGTCGAAGAGAGTTAATAAAGTGATTGCAATTTGAGTCATTTTGGGAACTTATCGCTCTATTGGTGAGAGTCGATAAGTTGATTTTCACAAAGGAATTGTTGGCACATCGGGGGTAACGCAAGCTGAATCCAAACTCTATGGGAATGATGGTCATCATAAGTGTAATGTTAACTTGACGATATTAGGGAATTCTGTCAGATGATATAGCCTAGACACTGTTGAAGATGCACAGAAGTTTTGACAATACTCTGTCAAAAGAGTTTGTGATACATGACTTTCATGAGAGTAATTATCATGTTGAAAATGCGGGTTGAACCCATCGTTTGAGGTCTGAAATG